AGGGGAAGTGTTGGGATGTGGGGGGATACTGGGGATTCTGGTGGTGTAAAATCTGCACTGGTGAAGGGATGGGTGTTTGATCATTGTATGACCAAAACTCAAACATGAAAGCTTTATAACTGTATCTCACAGTGATTCAATAAAAAAAAAAAAAAGAACAAGAAATAGGAAGAAGAAGGAGGGGGAGAAGGAAGGAGGGAGGAGGTAAAAGGAGGGAGGAGGGGAAGAGGGGGAGGGGGAGGAAGAAGAGGAGGAGGGGAAGAAGGGGGAGGGAAAAGAAGAGGAGGAGGGGGAGAAGGGAGAGGGAGAGGAGGAGGAGGGAAGGAGGAAAAGGAGGAGGAGGGGGAGGAGAGGAGGAAGAGCAGCAGCAGCAGCAGCAGGTTACTGAACAGCCAGTGGGTCAGAGGAAATCAAAGAGGAAATTAAAAAAATTCATGAAAACAAACAAGAATAAGGACATGACCTACCAAAATTTATCAGATACAGCAAAAGTGGTATTAAGAGGAAAGTCCACAGACAGGTATGCAAGCATTCATTAGGAAGGAAGGGTCCACATAACTTCAGGCTGCACAACTTAAAAGAACAATTTTTAAAAAAATTTTAATGCAACAACAACAACAACAAAGGGCTAGAGCAATAGCACAGTCAGTAGAGTGCTTGCCTTGCATGCGGCTGACCCAGGTTTGATTCCTCCATCCCTCTCGGAGATCCTGGTAAGCTACCCAGAGTATCCTGCCGGCACAGCAGAGCCTGGCAAGCTCCCCGTGGCATATTCGATATGCCAAAAACAGTAACAAGTCTCACAATGGAGACATTACTGGTGCCCACTAGAGAAAATAGATGAACAACAGGAGGACAGCGCTACAGTGCTATTTTATTTTGACTTTTTGGGGTCACACCCAGCGATGCTCAGAGGTTACTCCTGGCTCTGCACTCAGGAATTACTCCTGGCGGTGCTCAGGGGACCATATGGAATGCCAGGGATTGAATCTGGGTCGGTCACGTGTAAGGTAAATGCCCTACCAGCTGTATTATTGCTCCAGCCCTAGGCTGCACAACTTAAGAAACTGTCAAGTAACCAATAAAAGGAGCCCAAAGCAGGCAGGAGGAAGGAATAATAAAACATAGAGCAGAAACTAATGAACTAGAATCCAAAAGTACAATCCAAAGATCAATAAAACCAAGAGCTGGTTCTTTGAAAAAATAAACAAGATCAATAAACTAGTAGCAAGACTCATAAAGAGAGAAAAAATCCTAATAAACCAAATCAGAAATGAAAGGGGGAACAAACACAACAAATACCACAGAAATCCAAAGGATCATCAGAGATTACTTTTAGACTCTTTATGCCATGAAATGAGAGAACCTAGAAGAAATGAATACATTCTTGGACTCCTATAACCTTCCAAGGCTGAACCAAGATGTGGAATACTTGAATAGACCTATCAGTATCAAGGAAATTGAAATGGTAATCAAAAGTTTTCCCAAAAACAAAAGCCCAGGCTCAGATGGATTCACAAGTGAATTCTTTCAAACCTTTAAAGAGGACCTACTGCCAATACTTTCTAGGCTCTTCCAGGAAACTGAATAAAAAGAAACACTTCCAGTTTCTATGAGGCAAACATCACCCTGATACCAAACAGAGATACCACCCAAAAAAAAAAAAAAAAAAAAAAAGAATTAAAGCGGATATCCTTAATGGGCACAAATGCAAAGATCCTCAACAAAACACCGTCAGGTTTGATCCCAAGCACCCCATATAGTGCACCAAATCCCCTCACAAGTGATCCCTAAAAAGAGAACTAGAAACAAGTTCTTGAGCACCACCACCTGTGGTCCTCAAACAAAAAAACAAAAACAAAAAGAATTGTACACTTCACAAGTATCTTGGGCTATAGTGCATGCAATGCATGCCAGAGGCCTGGCTTTGACCCTTGGAGCTCCATGGTCCCCCAAGTACAGTCAGGAGTGACCCTTGAGCACTAAGTAGGAAGTGTTCCTTAAAAAAAAAAAAACACAAAGGGATAGAATGGCAGGAGGGCATTTGCCTTCCATGTGACTCACCCAGAATTGATCCTCGGCATCCCATATGTCCCAGAGCCCTGACTGGAATGGTCCTGAGTACAGAGCCAGGAGTAAGCCCTGAACATTGCTGGGTTTGGAGCAAACAAACAAACAAACAAACAAACACCTCTGTATAAATTTACATCATAAAATCTCACTTTGAAAAATGTTTGAGCCAGAGAGTACATGGGTTAAGGCTCTTGACTTGCATGTATTAGATCCCAGTTTAATCCCTTGCACTGGAGCATCCCCCAATCACCACAGGAAGTAGGTCCTATAAATAACACAACTAGGAGTAGACACATGGCACTGCTGCATATGGTCCCCAAAATAAATTAAAATTAAAAGGTTTAACGGGGTGAGAGAGCTCAAAAATCTAGTGTACTAGGGCCAGAAGCATAGCATACAGGGTAGGGTGTTTGCCTTGTTAAGCCACCGAAATGGGTTTGATGTCTCACATCCCAGATGGTCCCAAGCCCACCAGGAGTGATCCCTGAAACTATAGACAGGATTAAGTCCTTAGCATCAATTGGGTGTGGCCCCAAAACTGAAAATAATAAAACAATACCTTTGGGGTAGGGTGCTTGCCTTGCACGGGGCCAAGCCAGGTTCAATCCTCAGCATCCCATATGCTTTCCCTGAACACTGCCAGGAGTGATCCCTGAATGTATAGCCAGGAGTAACCCCTGAGTAGTGCCAATTGTGGCGCCCAAGAACAAACACAAAAAAATGCACACATACAATTTTAATTTGATTTCTCAAAAATGGACTTAAACACCAGTTTATTATGCAACTTGAAATATTTTACTGAGTCAGATATCTGGATATATCCTGCTCCATGCTACTTCCCCTTAGTCTTAAACAATGCATACTGTTTCATGTAATAGTTTAGTTTACTTTTTTAATCAGAAGACATGCAGCTATTTCTGTTACAAACTAAAGCAAGGAACTCTGCAACAGTCTTGAGTGCCCTCTACTGGGGATCATCACTAAAAGAGCTAAATTATAAATTATAAGCAATAATTCAGGCAGGCCAGTTAAGCCTTTCTACACACACACACACACACACACACACACACACACACAGGAGATATATGCTCTAAAATAATACACTGAATTCTCTATAATGTATTATATTTATGTATTAATGACTAATTAGAATAATAAAAGAAAATCACCACTATAGATGAAAGGAAAACGTATCCTTGCGTTTCTGATTATGGGGCCCAGACAGAAAAGGGCCATAACATTAATATCTTAAAAAAAAAGGGGGGGGTTACAGAAGTGGAAAAAAGAAAAGAAAATCAAATCAAGCAGTCAATCCTTCAATCATTTGCCTGACCAAGCATATTTATTGGTGGAAAGATAAGACTACACAGTGTGAAAGTAAATGGGCAGTTTATAAAAAAGTTTCTGACTTACTCCTTTTTTATTTTAGTAGTGCTAAGGATTAAATCCAGGGCCTCACATCTGCAAGGCAAATGCTTTACCACTGAGCTACATCTTCAGCCCTACCTTATTCCTTTGTTTTTGAGGCACACCTGGCAGTACTTAGGGAACACTCCTTGCTTTGTGCTCAGGGTTCACCTTGAGGTGGTGCTTAGGGAACCATATGTGGTGCCAGGGATCCAACTGGGGTCAGTCACATGCAAGACAAGCGCTTAAATGTCTGTATAGTATCTCCTGGTTCCCTACCTTTTAGTATCTTCACTTCTGATAGTATATTTACCTCATTCCTCTCAATTCAAATTTAGAAATTAGTTCTTCCAATAAGAACTGACATTCTGGGCTGGAGCAATAGCACAGCGGGTAAGGCGTTTGCCTTGCACGCGGCCAACCTGGGTTCGATTCCCAGCATCCCATATGGTCCCTGAATACCTACCAAGAGTAATTCCTGAGTGCAGAGCCAAGAGTAACCCCTGTGCATCGCTGGGTGTGACCCAAAAACGGGGGAAAAAAAAAACCCTGACATTCTATTGTAAGATAGCTTACATTCTGTGATTTTTCTATTCCTCTTAGTGTGATTATATCCTATATAATAAGATTGAGAGGAAAAAAAAGGCAGAGGTTGGGAATTGGTGAAAAAACTTCCTTGGAGAAACATTAAGGATTTAGACGAAGAAAAGACTGCAATTACCAACAGTGGCATTTCATATAAAATTCTTCTTGTTTCTGTATCTTTGGAACTACACCTGGCACTGCGCAGGGGTCACCTCAGGCAGTGTTCAGGAGGCTATAATGAGTGGGGACCAAACCCAGATCTCTGGCATGCAATCTCTGGCCCCAGAATCCACTTTTTAAATATGGCAGGGTCAAGGATGTATGGTATAGGCTTTGCATGTGAGACTCTGCACTGGACCCATGGCACCATAGTAAAATAAATCTTACAAAAGCATCTGATCATGTATGTTATTTTATAGGAAACTGATAGAGAACAGTTACAACTGAGGGTAGGACAGTGGGGAGAGCATTTGCCTTGTACACGGTAGACAAGGGTTCGATCCCCAGCATCCCACAAGGTTCCCCGAGCACCACCAGGAGCAGTTTCCAAGTACAGAGCTAGAAGTATCCCCTGAGCATCACCGGTATGACCCAAAAACAAAAAGAGAGAAAGAGAGCGCAGTTACAACTAAAATCAATGTTTTCATAGAAACCAAAGCAAATCAAAATTACATTTAAAAAATTGTATCTGAATTAGCTGCAGTGAGGTAAATTTTATTTTGCTATTTCTAAACTTTATTTTCCTGTGGGAGAAAGCAGCACCAGTTCCGTGTTCTGGGGTCATAGCCAACAGTGCTCAAGGTGCCAGCGATGGACGCCGGGCATTCTGCATACAAAGCAGGCACTCCAATTTGTTGAGGTATCTTTGTGGCCTAGACAATAATATTTTACACAATTTCCACTTTGTTATAAAATTCTCTTTTAGTAATACGTACTGCTAATCTGTGATTATTTGCAAGGCTGATCATTTGCTGGGACAGGCCATTCAGTAATCGAGTCCGAAGTGGTAGGTCATCTAAGTCATGACGAAAAGGAAATGCAATCCCATCCACTATAACTAATCGAACCTAAAAATAGAAGACACAATGAGATTAGGTTTGGTATTCATTATAAAATAACAAAAATGGCATGTAAAAATGGCATGGTCTTTCATGAAGGGAAGGAAAAAAAACCTACTTAAAATCCAGGATTCTATTTCCAAAAGGGCTACTCCTGGGATAAGTGCTTGTTCCCACCAGTATCTGAGGGAGAATGATGTGCTGGGACAGAACCCAAGGGTCCCACACTCAAGGCTTGTGCTCCAGCCTTTTGAGTCATCTCCCTAACTCTTTCAGATTTCTTCTTTTCCTTTTTTTTTTTGAATTATATCTGTTAGTGCTCAGGGTTTACTCCTGGATCTCTGCTCAGGGATCACTCCTCAAGGGCTTGGGGGACCACAGGGAGTGACACTGATCACACATGGTCAGCAACATGCAAAGCAAATGTACTATCCACTCGACTCTCACTCCCTCAGAATTTGTTTAGTGTTAAAAACAAAACATTATAATAGCTAGAGTGCTGGAATTCACAGAGATCACTCCCAGCAATACTAGCCTGGGAGAGCAGGACTGATGAGATAGCTCAATGCTAGTCAGTGCGGTGTGTGGACCACCGCGGTCACACTTGCCAGTGTTGAGGGGCCACACAGTGCCAGGAAATGATCTCATGCAAAAGATGCACTCCATCCCTTTGAACTTTGTCTCCTGTCTGTCTTAATTTTAAGTATATTACATATAAGGCAACTAACCATTATGGCATGTTTTAAAAATTCAGCATGTGAGCTGGAGATAGCGTAATGGGCTAAGAGCATGATTTATTATATGGGAGGTCTGAGTTCAATCCCTGGCACTGCATGGTCCTGAAAGCACTGCTGGGAGTGATCCATGAGGACAGGAGAGAGCTGGGAGTAGCCTGTAAGCACCACCAAGTTTGGCCCTAAAGATAGTAAATCTTTTCATGATAATTTTATTTCTAATGTCTAAATGGTTCCAATGGAGAAGTTAAGAGTAAATGTCAGCGGCTGGAGAGATAGCACAGCGGGTAGGGCATTTGCCTTGCACACAGCCAACCCGGGTTTGATTCCCAACAACCCATATGGTCCCCCAAGCACCGCCAGGAGTAATTCCTGAGTGCAGAACCAGGAGTAAGCCCTGCAGCACTGGGCATGATCCAAAAAAGAAAAAAAAAAAAGAGTAGATGTCAATATATAAACCAAAGGTCTGGAGGCTAGAGTGATAGTACAGAGGGTAAGGCCTTGCATGCAGCTGATCCAGGTTTGATCCCCAGCATCCTTGAGCATACCAGGAGCAATCACTGAGTGTAGAGCAGAAGTAAGCCGTAAGCACCTCTGGTTGTGGCCCCAAAAATATACCTTAAGGTTTAAGAATACGTAGAAGTTAGAAATTAATGTAAACATAAACAAACAAAAAACTACACTGAGAGTATTTTTTGTCTTACAAGGATTAGGTTGGGCTGGAGTTACAGTACAGCAGGTAGGGTGTTTGCCTTGCATGCAGCCAACTTGGGTTCAATCCCCAACACCACATACAGGGACCCCTGAACACTGTCAGAAGTGCACCTCATGGCATCCTACACTACTTACTAGGCATGGCCCGGCTGTCCCCAGGAGTACACTCCCACTTCTGTATGTGACGACAGAGAAAGATGCAAAACACTAAACCAAAATGGAAGGCAGAACTCCTGGGAATATATCCCAGAGAGGCAAAAAAGTATAGCCGAAGTGACATCTGCAATTGTCTGTTTATTGCAGCACTCTTTACAATAGCCAGAATCTGGAAAAAACCTGAGTGCCCGAGAACAGATGACTGGTTAAAGAAACTTTGGTACATTTACACAATGGAGTACTATGTAGCTGTTAGAAAAGAGGAAGTCACGAAATTTACATACAAGTGGTACTACATGGAAAGTATCATGTTATGCGAAATGACTCAGAAAGAAAGGGATAGACATAGAAAGATTGCATTCATCTGGGGAACATAAAGTAACAAAATAGGAGACTAACACCCAAGAATGGCCGAGATTAGTACCAGGAATTTTACTCAATGACCTGGAGGCCAACCACACATGTTAGGGGAAAAGGGAGCTCAGAAAGAGAAGGGAACACCAAATAAAGGGTGTTGGGAGGATCCTCCCAGGATGGGAGAAGCATGTTGAAAGTAGACTATCGACCAAACATGATTGCCACTCAATGCCTCTTTTGCAAACCACAGCACCCAAAAGGAGAGAGAGGGAAATGCCCTGCCACAGAGGCAGGGTGGGATGGGGGCTGGGGGGTGGGAGGGATACTGGGATCCGTGGTGGTGGAAATGCGCACTGGTGGAGGGATGGGTGTTTGATCATTGTATAATTGAAACCCAAGCACAAAAATGTGTAAGTCTGCAGCTGTACCTCATGATGTCTCACTATTAAAAAATAATAATAATAATAATAAAAATTTTTTAAAAATTTTAAATAAACTCTCACTATCCTAATTCTAAAAAGAAAAAAAATGGAAGGCAGAGAAATATTGTAGAAATGTGAGAAATGGGATATTGTAATATGTATCAAAATTTGGGGACGAGCCAGAGAGATAGTACAAAGGTCAAGGTTCTTTTCTTGGGTGCAGCAGACCCCAGTTTGGTCCCCAGCAACTCCCATAGGGATCCCCACACACTGTCAGGAGAGATTCCTGAGCACACAGTCAAGGGAAAGTCACAAGCAGACAGGTGTGGCCCACAAGATTAGTAGTGGTCATTTTGCTAGAAAGGGATCAGAAAGCAATAACAGAAGTAGAGTTTTTCTTTTTCTTTTCTTTCTTTTTTTTAGGGGGGGAGGGGTCAAGCATACCCATTAGTTCAGGGACTACTCCTGCCTCAGCAATCACAGGTTGCTCTTGGAGGTTCTCAGGGGGCCACGCAGAGCCAAGGATCAAATTCAGGCCACTTGCATGCAAAGTACACACTCCTGCCTGCTGATCTCTCTCTCCAGGAGTTTTAATTTTTTTTTTTTTTTTTTTTTTTTTTTTGCTTTTTGGGTCACACCCAGCGATGCACAGGGGTTATTCCTGGCTCTGCACTCAGAAGTTACTCCTGGCAGTGCTCAGGGGAACATATGGGATGCTAGAAATTGAACCTGGGTCGGCTGCATGCAAGGCAAACGCCCTACCCTCTGTGCTATCTCTCTAGCCCCCTCCAGGAGTTTTAATTTTTCATGTTCCCTTTCTGTATGTTTATAAAGTGTATTTCACTTTTGCTAGAAGTAGAATCTTTCCCCTGGTTATCTCAACTTCTTATACAAGGAGTTACATGCACATGTCTGATAAATAAATGTAAATATAAAAAAAACAGAAGGACCAGAGGAAGGTTTTTTGTTTGTTGTTGTTGTTGTTGTTTTTTGAGGTGGAGGGGTTGGGCCCGTACTCCTACTCCCACACGTGCTCAGGGACCTATATGTGGTACAGAGGACTGAATCCAGGTTGGTCACAAACAGGGCAATCACCTTATCCATTGTACTATCTCTCTGGGTCCAGGAAGAGATAGAAATGGCTTGTGTTACTTATTTTTCATGGTAACCAAATACCTCCAAAGATACTTGGCTAGGACCAGAGAGATGGTACAATGGGCTACTTTACATGAAAGAGACCCAGGTTCAATGGCCACCCCCAAGTGTCCCTCGAGCACCGAGGCAAGCCCCTTAGACCCTTGAGCACAGCCAGCTGTGGACCTAAACCAAAAAAAAGAAGAAAAAAATTCCCAAAGATGTTTGGCTAAGGCTGGAGTGAAAGGACAGAAGGCAGGATGTTTTCCTTTCGTGTAGCTGACCTAGGTTCAATCCCTGACGTTTCATATGGTTCCCTGATCATCATCAGAAGTAATTCCTGAGTGCAGAGCCAGAAGTAACCCCTGAGGAATACCAGGTGTGAACCAAAAAAGCCAAAAAGAAAAAAAAAATAGTTTGGTTAGTTCCAGTACAGTAGCTTGGACCATACCTTTGAGTGTTCTGAAAGGAAGTCTGGAAGGAGGTAAACTTGTGCCAACAGTTCTATGTAGTCACAACAACGAAAATAATAAATATGGGAAAGAATATTCTCAAGAGTGAAATCCTCTAAAGCTTTTGAATACTCTGAAATAAAACAAATTTAAAATAGTCAGTTTTGCCTGTTTTGATATGCTGGTTAAAGGAAAACAATTTTTGAAACTCTTTCCTTTGAGGAACTGAAGAGACAATACATTGGGTATGGCTGGCTCTTGCCTTGCATACAGCTGACCTGGGTTTAACCCCCAGTACCACATATCCACATATGATCCTCTAAGCCTGCCAGAAGTGATCCCTAAACTCAGAGCCAGGAGTAACTACAAGGTGCAGCCCAAAAACAAAAACAAGAACAAAAAAAGAAACTGCATGCATAGAACACTGGCAATGGTATCCTATGAATAAGTCTGTAAATAAATCATGGTACCAGAACTGAAAATAAAAACCCAAAACCTCTCTCCTTTCAGAGATATTAAAATTGTAGCAAATTTACTATGAATTACTATTTCATAATTTCTGGCTTAGTCCATCTTTCCATTCTTTCTGTATAAATCAGGCTATTAACAAAAGAATTGTTTTTTGTGGGCCACACTCTGCAGTGTTTAGTATTATTCCTGCTCTGTTCTGGGACTGGCTCCCAGCAGTCAGTGGGGCTGAAGAGCTAGTATAGCAGGTAGGGCGTGTGCTTGCATGCTGCCAACCTGGGTTTAATCCCTGGCATCCCATATGGTCCCCCAAGCACCCCCAAGTACTCAAGGATTAAATCCTGAGTGCAAAGCCAGGAGTAACGCAAAAAAAAAAAATTATATATATATATATATATGATAGCTTAATGAGGTTGAGTGCATGCTCTGTATGCAAGAGGCGTGGGTTTGATCCCTGGCATAGCAAGGTCCCTTGGGCAGCACCAGGAGCAACCTTTGAGCACAGAGTCAGAAATAGCTCCTGAGTATCACAGGGTCTGATCCAAAGAAAAATTAAACTAATGAAGTTTGTTTTGGGGCCATACCAGCAATATTCATGGGTTACTCCTGGCTCTGCACTCAGGAACTATTCCTGGCAGTGCTCAAGAGACCATAGAGGATGCTGGGATTAAACCCACGTAGGTTGCATGCAAGGTAAAAGTACTACCCACTGTACTATCGCTCAGGCGCCTAAACTAAAAAAGTTTTAAATAACTAGTCTGGGGCCAGCAAGATACTACAGAGGTAAGGCATTTACCTTACATAGACCAACCCTGGTTCACTCTCCAGTCTCCCAACATTAATACATTTTAAAATAGTTGTTTGGGGCATAAGAGGGATTATGGCTCTTGTTTTGCAAGTGGTCACCCCCCACCCTGATTTGAACAATGGTACCACATGGCCTCACAAGGGGCCTGAGAGTAACCCACAAAATACTGGCAGGATTATCCACCCCCAATTTTTTTAAAAATATTCACTGGTTTGGTTTGGTTTGGTTTGGTTTGGTTTGGGGGGGCCACCTGGTGGTATCCTGAGATCAATTCTGTCTGTCTGTACTCAGGGTCCATATGTAGTGCTAGGATCAAGCTGCAATCAGCAGCTGCATGCAGTGCCTTAATCCCGGTACACAATAACTGCCCTGACCCTCCCTCAAAAAAAAAATGCACACACAATTGTTAAGTAGCACTGTCCTCCCGTTGTTCATCGATTTGCTCGAGCGGGCCCAGTAACATCTCCATCATGAGACTTGCTGTTACTGAGTTTGGCATACTGAATACGACCTGGGTAGCTTGCCAGGCTTTGCCATGCGGGCGAGATACTCAGTAGCTTGCTGGGCTCTCTGAGTGTAGCAGAGGAATCGAACCTGGGTCGGCAGTGTCAGCTGCGTGCAAGGCAAATGCCGTACCCACTGTGCTATTGCTCCAACCCTTCTTTAATGTCAGGGCTGGAGAGATAGTTAGAGGGGTTAAGTCACTTGCCTTGCATGCACTTAAATACATTAAAGTGATATGCGTGACACCCTTTCAGTAACAGTACTGCAAATGGCGGTGCCTAAAAGAGAGAGAGAGAGAGAGAGAGAGAGAGAGAGAAAGAGAGAGAGAGGTAAAGTGCAATAGAGACTGGCTGCAGAGACAGGGGGACGGGGGTGGAGTGGGAAGGTAGGAGGGAAATTGGGGAAACTGGTGGTGAGAGAGAAATGTACGCTGGTGAAGGGAATGCTGCTGGAAAACTATGATTGAAACTCAATTATAAGCAACTTTGTAACTATATCTCACTGTGATTCCATTTAAAAAAATTTGTGGAAACAAAACCCTTAAAAATATGCAAATACAGGGCGGGAGCGGTAGCACAGTGGGTAAGGCATTTACCTTGCACGTGGCCAACCCAGGTTCGATTCCCAACATCCCATAGGCATCCCATCCCATCCCCCAAGCACCACTAGGAATAATTCCTGAGTGCAGAGCAAGGAGTAACCCCTGATCATCGCTGGGTGTGACCCAAAAAGCAAAAAATAAATTAATTAATTAAAATGGGGCTGGAGAAATAGCACAGCAGGTAGGGCGTTTGCCTTGCACGCGGCCGACCCAGGTTCAATTCCCAGCATCCCATATGGTCCCCTGAGCACTGCCAGGAGTGATTCCTGAGTGCAGAGCCAGGAGTAACCCCTGTACATCGCTGGGTGTGATCCAGAAAGAAAAAAAAAAAAAGAAAATACTATTTATTAATTATACCTTAATAAAGCTAAGATAGTACAGTGGGGAAGTGTTTGCCTTGCATGCAACCAACCTGGGCTCAATCCCTGACATTCCATATTGTTCTCCAAGCCAGCCAGGAGCAAGCCCTTAGCACAGTCAGGTGTGGACCAAAAATTTTTAAATATAACCTGAAAATAAAATTGTTAATATTGGGTAAAAACCAAGAAACTGTATTCCAAAAACACCGTCTGTTGAGAATATACATTTAAAAAGTACATTTTACACTAATAAAAAAAAATTAAAAAAACCAAAAAGTACATTTTAGGGGCTGAAGAGATACAACCCATTGACAACAGGTAAGGTGTTTCACTTGCATATTCGAACCCCAACACCTTATATGGTCCCCTAAATATAGTAAGTACATTCTGGGGCCAGATATAGTTCAATGGGTTGAGTGTATACTTTGCTTACAGGAGGCTCAGGTTTGATTGATCCCTGGCCCCAACATGATCCCTTGCACACTACCTGGAGTAAAGTGACCTGGAGTAGCCCCTGACCCCTGGGTGTGGCCAAAAGTAAGATTAATTTTAACCAAAAAAGTTTAATCTGCTCACCTTTTTGGGGGGGTGGGAGGGGGTTTTGGGGTCACACCCAGGGGTTACTCCTGGCTTTGCACTCAGGAATTGCTCCTGGCAGTGCTCTAGGGAACATATGGGATGCTGGAGATCAAACCCAGGTTGGCTACACACAAAGCAGATGTTCTACCTGATGTACTACTGCTCCGGCCCCAAGAACGATTATTAAAGCTTTGTCCTATTGTGATACCTGCAATATTTTTAGGTACCGTTATATGCAATGTGGTAAGTGTAGTTTTAAGAACTTTCAAAAGATATATTGGTCATTAATTAAAAAGAACACTTAGGAAAGAGAGCTCAAAGGGCTGAGCGCATGCACATAGCTGGGCTGGGCTTGATCCCTGGCAAAGACCTGCACGGTCACCCAGGCACCTATGCAGCACCCCTCCCAGGGAGCAGGGAGTAGTCCCATAGTCCCATACCACCAGCAGAGCTGGGTGTGCCCCCAAAACAAAACGAACACCTAACACTCCTATGAAAATAAAAAGCCCCAGATTATTACACTCACTTAAAGGGAAGCCAAACATTCTATGAAAATTATTTTAAAAACTACTTGAAAATTAGGGCCGGCAATGCAGCTGAATGGTAGGACACTTTCCTTACAGGAGTGAAGCCCTTGGTTTGATCCCCTGCACTGCAGGGGGAAAACTTTCTAAAGAAAAGAATAGGGCCAGAGTAATAGTAATCAGGTGCTTGCCTTGCATGTGACCAACCCAGGTATGATTTCCGGCACCACGTACGGTCCTCTGAGCCCACAAGAAGTGATCCCTCAGTACAGAGCCAGGATTAAACCTGAGCATCGCTGGGTGTGGCCCCAAAACAAAACGAACAACCCCTCCCCCTAGTTCATATCTGGAATGTCGGATGGTTAAAGTCATATACTGAAATACAGATACAGATAATGCCAGTAAGTTTCTGCAGCAAAATGTGGAGTTCATGAAAGGAAAAAACAAAATAGCAGTCAAGCTTGTGGTATTTTGTAAGTGTTTAACTCTCGGACACTGTCAAATTGTTAAGTTTCATATTTTAAATGCTTTTTTCCTAATAATGAATATAGATACAAAAGCAAATTTCTGAGCCTAGAAATATAGTACAGCATGTAAGGTGCTTGCCTAACACATAACTAACCCCAGTTCATTCCCTGTGATCACATATGGTCCCCTTTGTCACTGAAAAGAGATATTCCTAAGCTCAGAGCCAGAAATAAGCCCAGAGCACTACCAGACACGGCACCAAAACAATAACAACAAAAAAGCAAAACTTATTATACAGAATAAAGAGGACCACTTGCTAACTTACCCTCTCCCATCTGTGTTCCTGCTATAAGATGAAGGTGCTGAATACAGGCAGTAGCGAGATCTACCACTCTATCAACCATAAAACTTCCTTCTGTATCAATAAAAACCGCTTCACCATTCACTCCTCCAAAACATTCCGGTATCTGCACATCTACTGCCAACTGCATACTGTCAAGAAAAAGAAGTCAAACTATAAAATCATTTGCTTTTAAGCCAGTGTTTTTCGAACTCCAGATCACTACCCACTATATATTATCAAAGGGTGGGGAGATAGTTCAAAGAGAACAAATGTATAAATACAAATATACTCCCCAAGGCAATAAAGATGGCTCCAAATATATGTATGTGAATGGCTGCTTGGATTAAGGGGATGCTCTATCTAGAAAATTGTAATTAAGAGACTTGCCCCCACACACACACACTTTTTATGGTGGTGCCCAGTATCAAAGCCAGATCTCATACAAGCAAGGCAAATCCTTTACCCCAATTGAGCACATCCCCAGTACTTAAATTCTTAGTGGTTTTTAGGCCTTAGGGAATGGAATCCTTTATTGTAGGTAAATCTACTTTCAAACATTTTCTTTTCAAATCTAGTCTCAAGAATTAATTATGCAGTAAAGTAAATTTACCTTATTTACCTTCATCACCATACTACAATACACTGAAAATAGTTAATTATTTGACTAAATAAAATTACATTAACTTATCAGAATAAGGGGTTGAGGAAACAAATGTAAGATGATATGTTTGATGTATATACTTACAATGGTTCAAGTAAGATCACATAGTATAGGGATTAAGGAGCTTTGCCTTGCATGCTGTTGAAGTTTGGTCCTTGACAGAACATATAGGTGGGATAGGGTGGAGGAGGGGGTATGGGGGAGCCCAAGCTACTAGTACAGTGGGTAGGGTGTTTGCCTTGCACATGGGCAACCCAGTTTCGATCCTCAGCACCCCTTTGGTCCCCCGAGCACTGCCAGGAGTAATTCCTGAATGCAGACCCAGGAGTAAAGCCTGAGGATCGCCAGGTGTGACTCAAAAACACCAAACATAAAAACATATAGCCCCAGAGGTACCACCAAGAGCGATCCTGGAGCCCAGAGCCAGGAGAGCATGAGCACTGCTGGGTGAGGCTCAAAGACCCAATGGGGAGAAACAGAGCACACGCATGCCTTTCTTGTCTCCTGACTGTAACACCTACAGCACAACACTTAACTAGATAATTAGATTAAGCCCACTCTTAAGAGGAGAACATTTGTTTTACCATAATTGTGTTTTTCCAACACCTGGTGCACCACAAATCTCCGTTGTTTTGGTTAAGGGTACTCCACCCCCAAGAATATTATCCAGTGCTGAACAGAAGGTAATTATGAAGTTCTGGGTATGCTCCTGCTCAAGAAGTTCCAGAGCTGTACACTTCTTGCCTGACTCAGCTGTTCCAGCACATCCTGGCTTGTTAGTGGGACATTCTCTTCTTATAATTTGCAGAGTTTCTAAGGCTTCCTCTTTAGATATCCCAGCTTCTGAAAAGAAAAGAGAACAGAAAACCAACACCCTGATTTGAGAAAATCAAATGTCTAACATGGTATTCAATTATCTTCATTAATTTTTACATACCAAGGAAAGTTAGCAGTAGTGGAAAAAAGTAACATTCCATTAGCCATTTGATTTCCAATTTAACGAAGGCTTTTTCCTGTTTCCTTGTTCTTTACATAGTTCAAAGATATTTCTATTATCCAAGAAAAAGAATTCAGAAACCTAAACCTCTAAGGCATTTCTGAATACCAGCAAGAGTATCTTAGAGATACTCTTGAGATAGAAAGGAAAAAAATGTCCTCTACAATCCTTTTTTGGTCTTATAAAACCTTAAATACTTATTCTCATAAGAGACAGAAATTATTTTATTTTTGGTTTCGGAGATACACCCGGTGTGCTTTATTCCTGGCTCCATGCTCAGGGATCATTCCTAGCGGTGCTCAGGGGACCACGTATGGTGCCAAGGAACAAACCAAGGTAGGCTGCATACATGGCAAGTGCCTTATTGCTGTGCTATACTGTATTTCTGGCACCAATATATATAAGTTATTTCTATAAAAATACCTTAACTGCCTAAAACAAGATGCAATTTTATTTTATTTATGTTTTGGGGCCATACCCATCAGTGCTCAGGTTTTACTCCCTGGCTCTGCACTCAAGAATTACTCCTGGGGGCCGGAGGAATAGTACCATGGGTATAGTGTTTGCCTTGCACACAGCTGACCTGGGTTCGATCCCCAGCATCCCATATGGTCCCCCAAGCACCACCAGGCATAATTCCTGAGTGCAGAGTCAGGAGTAACCCGAGCACTACCGGGTGTAACCCCCCAAAAAAGCAAAATAAAAGAGAAAATGCTTGGGACCAGGGCAATAGTACAGCAGGTAGGGCATTTGCCATGCACACAGTCAACTTGGGTTCATTCCCCATATCCCGTATGGTCCCCTGAACACCACCAGGAATAATTTCTGAGTGGACAGCTAGGACCAACCCCTGAGCATTACTGGGTGTGTTACAAAAAGTGAAAAAATAAAATAAATAATAATAATAATAAAGAAAAAGAAAAGAGAGAATGCCAATTACAAAGAATACTTAGAAAGAAAATTCAGGAGTACGTGGTGTACTAGGTACTGGAGGTGTAGCCTTGTCTTCCATGGTTCAGTTCCTGGCACCACAAACAGATCAAATCAACATACAGAAATAAAGGAATGGATGAAGTCACTTATGAGTTTGTTAAGGATATTAACTATATTGGGGCCGGAACGATAGTACAGCAGGTAGGGCATTTGCCTTGCATGCGGCAGACCTGGGTTCGATTCCCAGCATCCCATATGACTCTCTGAGCACCCTTAAGAGTTAATTCCTGAGTGCAGAGCCAGAAGTAACCTGAGCATCACTGGATGCGACCCTGCCACCAAAAAAAGAGCAAAAAAATAAAGGTTATTATCTATACATATGTATGTTGCCAATGGGCAGGAGAGATAGTTTGGCAGTAATTTGTCTGTCTTGCATGAGGGTGACCAGATCCAATCCCCTGCACAGCATGTGATGCCCTGAGCACCACCAGAAATTATTCCTGAGAGAGCCAGAAGCCCTGAGCGTCACCAGGTGTGCCTGCTTGACCCAAAGAAAGGAAAAAAATAAGTAAATAAAGCTAACTCAGTCAAGGTAATGGTAGACAGTTCTCCCTGACACCAAAGGTGCAGCCCCCAAACCAAAACACACAATCTAGAGTTAGTTTATTTGAATTTGGAAGTCCAGCACATCACATACTACATAGTCACTATCTGTGGATAAATTGGGGTTTTTTTTTTTTAGTACTTTTGGAGGGGTATTTCTTTGCAAGTAGGGCGTTAGGCACATGGCCAACTGGGTTGACTCCCAGCATCCATCCCATATGGTCTCCTGAGCACCGCCAGGAATTCTTCCTGAGTGCAGACCCAGGAATAACCCGAGTACTGCCGGATGTGGCCAAAAAACTAAATAAATGAGAATGAAACATGTAAAGAGCCTGAAAGAATAACAGAATATCCAAAATGCTCAATAACTGTTAGCTCTTACTATCTTCCGGACCCTTCATTTCATGGTAAAATCAATTTGGGGGAGGGGGAGAGTTCAGCAAACTCTGAAACACAGTCTAGGTGTATAATTAACATTGCATCTACAACATGTGCTGAGTGGAAAATTGAAATCTTACTTTCCATCATTATGAGCAATTACTAAAATATCTCTTGTAGGGACAGGGGAGATGCATACACCTGCTTTGCATGAAGCAAGACCCGAGTTCAATCTCCAGCACTGTAAAGTGTGGCCCATCAGCGCCCTCCAAAAAAAAAACACCAAAAAAAACCCCCAAACTTCTTCTAGGGAGGAGAGAAAGTTCAGTAGTTGCAAGCTTTGCAGAAGACCGTGTTCTATCCCCAGGTAGTGCATGGTCCCCCAGCACTGCCAAGAGCAACCCGCGAGCACCAAAGCGGGGCTAGTCTCCTGGGCATGGAGTGACCAAAAATCCAAAAATGAAATCAACTTCTAACATGGTCTCTAATAACACGGTGTTGTGCATAAGGTAATATGATGTGCACAACAAGACCACCAGTCAACTTCATTCTTGTCTACCTTCAAACAGTGACTTCCACGAATGCATAATAATAACCCCAGTGTTCTTGAATATGAGGGTCTTAAGAATGCTTTTCTACAGCTTTCTCACTCTTGAATGATGAATCTTATCACAATCATGCATTTCTCAAATTCACTCCCTTGTGTTGGGACAGCCTGTCTGGGTTCCAATCCCAGCTTCGCTACTACTTAGCCCATTATTCATCATAAGTTACTTAACCGGAGCTGGAGGAATAGCACAAGGGTAGGGCGGTTGCCTTGCACGCGGGCAACCCGAGTTCGATTCCCAGCATCCCATATGGTTCCCTGTGCACCGCCAGGGCTAAATCCTGAGTGCAGAGCCAGGAGTAATCCCTGTGCACCGCCAGGTGTCACCCAAAAAAGCAAAAAAAAAAAAAAAAAAAAAAAAAAAAGTTACTTAAATTTCCCCAAACATCAGTTGCTTTATCTATATATACTGGATATAATGCACAGTAAGAGGGTGGAGGGGGAGATGCAAATGACATAATCATCTAGAATTCGGATGGCATCCATAGAGAAAGCAACCAGCAACCGTTTCAAGACAAAACAGTCCTAACCATTCAGATTAACTCTGAAGCGCGGTCAGGGAGCTTCAGGCAACAGCGGGCAGCAGAAATTGCCCAGGACAGGGGCTGCTGCTGCTCGAAAGCGGGAGAAAGGAGACGGGGGCATCACTACCCACGGCGGCGGGCGTGCAGGGCTCGCCGTCGGGAGTCCTTACCTTTGCTGAGCTCCGAGGGTTTCACCTCGAGGAGTTCCTCTGCGGTCTGAAAACCTGCAGACACGAGCTTCACCCGCACAGCCGGGGCCAGGGGGAAACTCATTAAATCGCGCTGCATTTCAAAGTGCGCCGTCGCCCAGCGTAGCCGGACAGTGCCTGAAGCCCGCGCGCCTAAATCCCGCGGCGCGCGCGTGCGCGCTGGCGCCGCGAGACGTCAGGCGGAAGGGGCGGAGCCTGCGGCCTGGCTGCACGCGGCCTTGGGCTTTGCACTTCCGCAAATGCGGCTGTGCTCACGCGTGTCTCAGCATTTACACTGTGACCGTGACAGGTCCCGATTAGGTTTCCTACCAAATGTACATCCTGACCGTAAAAACTTAAAAAAAAAATTTTATTTTTAAGATGGAAATCAAACTTTGGAAGGATAGGCCCACTGGATTCCACACCTCCTGCGCATTTCCTCACTCCCGTGGCCTTTTCTGGGGAGAACTTTGAGGTAGTTAATGGAAATCGTCACCCCGAATGGGAGTCACACACGCCGGGAAGCCGCCCGTTGGAGCGCGGAACAGTCGCATTAGCTATTAACCTACTTCCTACTTGCAGGCTTCCAGTGCCTCGGAGCCTTCGGCGGATGTCGCCCTCGCAGCCCCCCTCACCTTCCCGTTCGCGCCCTAGCCCTCGCGAGGCATTATGGGCCTGCCCCCCTCCGGTGGGGAACGCCCCACGCGCACTGCGCACCCGCACACTCCTTCCCGCGCGTCGAGCCTGGAGCGTGGTCAGTTAATTCCAAACCGCCTGCCTAGTTGTTGACGCAGTAACTGGAAAAGCGAGTAAGATCCCCCACGGTGGGCTGCGCCTGGGTTATTTCGTGCGGTGCCGAGGGAGAAGGTGGGCTATGCGAAGCCCCCACCCCCACCCCCACTCCTAACCCCCCCCCCCCCCCCCGTTCTGGTTCGGAGTTAGAAATGGGCCGCTTGTAAACCCGAGAACCTCCACCCGATCGAGAGGCGGTTTGGAGTGTGGTTTTCCATCTCCTTCTGGCCCAAAGAGGGTTTTGTTCAGGAGATTAGCTCATCCACGATCGTAGCCTCGGTTGTCCTTAAATATTGCAAACCCCACAGTCTTTTGAATACGTAAGAAGGGAAACTGGAGCGGAAGAGAGGACGGAACGGATCCTATGGATTTCAGAGCTCACAATTTAGGAAGAAAATTGGGACAAAGGGGCGCAGAGATAGTACGGCAGGTAGGGACACTTGCCATGTACAGGGCCAACCCGGGATTGAACCTCAGTGCCCCATACGGTCTCCCAACACCGCCAGGAGTAGTACTCCCTGAGCACCGACGGATGTGATCTCTCCACCCCCTCTTCCTCCCACACACACAAAGGAAATAACACAGAAGCTTAGTACACTTTTCTCCAAATCAAAATTGTAACTGCCCACTCTTACTACAACCCGGGTTACCTCCAGGTTGTGAGCTTTACTCGAGGGAGTGGGGCAGGGAGAATTTTGCCACCCCTCCATTCCCTCCCCAGTTTGGTAGATAAGAAAAACAACAAGGGGGAGGCAGGGGCGATAGTATAGCCGGTAGGGTGTTTTCCTTGCACACGGCCTACCTGGTTCATCCCCGGCATCCTCCATGGTCCCCCAAGCACCACCAGACGTAATTTCTGAGTGCAGAGCCTCTGAGCATTGCTAGGTGTGACCCAAAAAGAAAGAAAAAAAACTGAAAGGATTAATGAAAATGTGGTTTGTTTGCTCTTCTATAAATTGCTTAACTTCCAGTATGATCCCTGTCTGGGCCTGTAGTGAACATTATTTGTCTGCAGGGTGAATTCATGTATATGGTTGTGTTTTTGGTGTTTTTTTTTTTTAATCTTTATTCTTTTTTGGTGCCTGATATGAAACCAAGGCCATATACATGCAAGGCAAGTGCATTTGTTACTGCTGTGTTACAAAGGCCTTGTGCTTATGATTTTATTTTATTTGGCTTGGGGACCATGCCGTACAAAAGACAATGCAGTGTTCCAACAAAAGGAGCTTTCCAGTCGTTTGACCTATCTCCCCAGCCACATGCTTAAAGAAAAAGGAAACCAGAGTTTGGATAAAGAAAGGAGTGTGTTAATACATTCAGGGATAGTTTTTTTTTATTAATCAAATTCAGTGGAACTGGTCATGGTTATTTTAAATTTTTTGTTTCAGGATCCTAGCATTAACAGAGGTAGGGCATTCGCCTTGCACGCAGCCAGCTTGGGCCAAGCCCGTTTTGATTCCTCAGCCCCTCTCGGAGAGCTCAGCAAGCTACCGAGAGTATCTCGCTTGCCCGGCAAAGCCTGGCAAGCTACCCGTGATGTGTTCAATATGCCGAACACAATAACAACAAGTCTCAAAATGGAGACGTTACTGGGCCTGCTTGAGCAAATCGATGAACAACGGGAGGACAGTTTGTTTCAGGAAACATGGGTAGCTGGAGAGATAATACAGCAGGTAAAGCACTTGCCTTACACTGCCAAACTGACCTGGGTTCGATCAGGGCACCCCATTTATATTTCCCCAAGACCTGCCAGTAGTAAATCCTAAGCACTACCAGGTGTGGCCCAAAATCAAATGTTTGTATCTCTTCCTTGGAGTATTCAGGATACCCAGCACAGAGATAAGAGTGGTGACTTCCTCTTCCCCCCTCCCACACACCAGCACCACCAGGTCTGGATCAAATGTGACCCCAAAACTAGCAAAAAAAAAAGGAAATATTCATATTATATCCCTCTCATACACACCATTCTGCAGAAAATATTGCAGTCAGCACAAAAAAGTGAAATATTAAGGAACGTTTGATACTTTAAATTAACTATTGATAATAAAAGCATTCCTACTTTCAGGGCTGGAGTGATAGTACAGCGGGTAGGGTGTTTGCCTTGCATGCGACCGACCTGGGATTGATTCCCAGCATCCCATCTGGTTCCCTTAGCACTGCCAGGAGTAATTCCTGAGTGCAAAGCCAGGAGTAACTCCTGTGCATCATCGGGTGTGACCCAAAAAGCAAAAAAGAAAAAGAAATAAAGCATTCCTACTTTTATCTATATAGCAACATAAGTCAGAATGTTCAATGATTACAGTTGATTATAGGCTTGCATCAAGACGAAGAGAGCTCTGCCTCCTTTGCCCCTCTTACCCTACCTTGAGGTAGGGGCCAGAGCAATAGCACAGCAGGTAGGGCATTTGCCTTGCATGCGGCCAGCCCGGGTTTGATTCTCAGCATCCCATATGGCCCCCCGAGCACTGCCAGGAGTAATTCCTGAGTGCATGAGCCAGGAATAACCCTTGTGGATCGCCGGTGTGACCCAAAAAGTGAAAAAAAAGAAAAAAATCTTGAGGTAGGTCTGGGATGTAAGCTTTTCATGAGAGAGTGAAAGGAGCTAGGAAGGCTAGGAAGGAGTTAATTAACCTGCAAAATTGCTTTCTGTAAACAGTTCAGCAGCCTTGAGGTTACAAAATTGGATTGAACCCAGTAGATGTGTAAAGTATGGGCTAGAATAAGACATAACTATTTGAAGATAGAGTGTTTTGACCATTCTGGAAACTGAAACTATGTGACCGGGTTAAGATGTTCGGATCGAGATACTCCAAGAAAAACTGCAAAGAACCCAGCAAAACACGTATTGGCAAAATATGTGCAAAATATGTGGTCTTTGTTCTCAAACTGTATAAAAGATGACCTGTTTCTGAGTTCGAGGCTCGCAGCCTCTGCCCGCTCTTGGGTATGTTGCAGAGCCCCAGCATGCTGGTCTGAATAAAACCCCGCTTAAATTCCTGCAGGAACGTTGTCTGTCTGGTCTCTCCGTGCCTCCCAGGGCTAGGGAACTCCCGACCCCAACAAGAGCCCTGTGTTGATTCTGGGAGCTCTGGGAAGCACCTGGTCAGTGACCAACAAGCACCAAACTTGAAGTAGCCCAAGAGTACAATGGGGTATGGCTCAAAAGAAAAAAAAAAGATGAATAATCAGAAATCTCTCAATGGTCAGAATAAGATGTTAACAATTTAACTGTATAGCTAAAGATCCAATATTCTAGTTAAAAATTCTCTATCCTCAGTGAAAAAAAAAAACTCTTGGGGGCTTGAGGGGTGGATGTGTTTTGTTTTGGGGCCACATCTGGCATAGGACTTCTTCTTGCCTCTGGGCTCTCAGAGATGAGTCCCTAGGGTCTGGGTCAAGGGATTACATAGGATGCTGGAGATCAAACCCCTAATAGCAGAGTGCAAAGCAAGCACCCCACCTGCTGTACTATTGCTGCGACCCCAGAATATTTCTTACATTGTAGGAAGAAGAGTATTTTCTTTTAATTTAAAAACATATAACATCAAAAATGGGAATTTAAGTCAGTATAGCTGGTAAGTGCTTGCCTTGAACAAGGTCAACTTGGATTTGATCCCTGGCACCCCATGTGGTCCCCTGAGCCCACCAGGAGTGATTCCAGAGCACCACTGACTGTGGGCCAAAAACAAAAATAAGAAAGAAAATGAAAAAAGAAAAGGAGTAATGCAGTAGTTGAAGCATGACGTTCTGGAGAATTTCAGGATACATCCAACCACAACTTTTTCTCTTGAGTGGGAATAACATGAAAAGAAAGTTGATTTCAGAGAGTAAGTCCATCACTCTTCAGATGTCAGGACTTGATTTTTCCAAAGATAGGTGTTTAGGTGGGCTACTGCGTGAACTTTTTCTAGTTTTGCTTTTAAGCAATACTAGAATCATTATTTGTGCAACTGGTTTTTTGAGTAAGGGTTTTTTTTTCCCCTCATACTTGCAAGATCAAGCCTTGTACTTAAGCTTAAAGCCTTGTGCCATATACTGTCAGAAATACAGAGACTGAATTTTGTGAACACTCATATCTCTTGTAGTTGTTTTTAGTTACATAAATAGCAACTTGTTGAACTGTGCCAAATATGAATGAATGAGGTCACTAACTGCCAAACCACTGAAAGAGGAAAATAACTTAGATTGCTTCTATTTGAAAATCAATAGTGACTTTAACTTTTTCCCCCCCTCTCTTTTTGTGTCACACACGGGATGCAGAGGGTTTACTCCTGATTGTGCACTCAGGAATTACCCCTGGCGATGCTCAGGGGACGATATAGGATGCTGGGA